ATAGCTTGATGCCTCCGCCTAACGTAATTATAAGTACCGTATGAAAATTCAACTACCTGGTATATATTTAGAGTCGACACCTTATGTATTTGCCGCCCTGCTGGGTTTACCCTACACTGTACCTGTTCTCCGAGTCCATTATTTATAACCCCTCCGAGATGAAGTAGTGTCATAGAGCTGCGGTGTGTCTGCACTGAATTTCTGGTGCCTTGTGATCAATCGATTCAAGCAGGTCTTTATATTCGTAGTACAGTAGTACGTGTAATGGTGTCAGAGGAGGCAACAGTAGGCTACATGTTGACAGGTAAGAGGCTCGTGCAGTAGTGACTCACGAGGCACGGGGGGGGGGGTGGCATCTGGTAATGGATGTGGTGTTGCTGGCGGAACAAAGTGTCTTACTTAAGGAATTCTTTCACTTGTGGTGTAAGAGCAACAGAACTGTGTCGTCTGCAGCACAATGTTAATCCCACACCCACCACCGATACCTAGTCAAGGTTAGCAATCAGTCGCTCGTATGTACAAAAACGAGTTGTTTCGCCTGCTCAGTATTGATCGTAAACACATACTGTACTAACAGCCAAACTTCAATATTCACAGTAAGTGGCCAGAGTGTGCATAAACACATTACGTCGTGTCCAACAACAGAATATTGATCCCCTACTAACATATGGACACAAAAACCGATAAAATTTAAAAGCATAACTTTGTATCGCCTGAAAGACGCTAATTTTAACACTCGGCACCAACATACAGACACTCACAACTCCCTGTCTGCTCCAGAACACCACAGACACGGACAATTACACTGTGGCTTATGACTCGCTCTCCTGCGTGACCACAGCACCGCCGCGCCCCTCCTCGCTCAATCACACTCAATGGCATGAAAGTTACAAGTGCAAGCCAATCACATCGAGAACCATTTTACCATATCGTGATATACTGTCATTATCCTAAAATTTTATTCCTCTTGAGCACTATATAACTATTAATAAATAGGACACATAACTTACCTCGCTAGATTAATAGCTCAACATATATCTTGATAAAATCACACGGGAAAAGAGAAACAACGGAGCACCTTAGCTTTCGTCTTTATTCAAGACATCTTCAGAGGCAACGTTTTCATTGTGGATCTACATGAAATACTCAACATATATGTATAAACACATGTATGTTTACAGCTACAAAATTGACGACATTGGTGACAACACTGCAAATTCTTTTTAAACAAATGAGCTAAAAATACACCGCTACCCCACAACATCCATGATATAAACCACAAAATATAATGTTACTTCTACTGAGTCGTGCCTCTTTTTCTTATTTCATTATATCTTAATAGCTAGTTATAAGTGACCTACTATTGTATACCCTGAAAACGATGGCAGCAACAAGCAAAAGTACTTAGCCCACTGATCAGCTAGGCTGTTATGGTCCACATCGCGTGAGAGGCTGCCCAAAACCTGAGGCTCAACGCACGTAAACTGTAATAACCTGTGCTAGATTCACGACCGACGTATTTATACTTGTAAACTGTCATTTAGATTATTATATACTCATTTTCAGACGAGTGATTCTTAACTCTTTCCTTTCCCAGAATCTGAAGGTCCTGTACAGATACTGAGGTAAGAGGAAGAAGGTTAAGAAATATTATCAGGAGGAAGGTTCATCTGTCTCCCGGCTAGATAGTACGGTGAGACAGGTATTTTAATGACCTCAACCACTCCTCTCCCTACTCCAGCAGACCCGGGTAGCTGTCTCTCGGTCACCAGCACCTCCCTCATCTGCCACATACCGTTGCTCAAAATCAGAGTTAACGACTGTGAAGAGAACTGATCTGTCAATGTATTTGGCACAGTCCCAAACTAACCCAAGAGGCACACACACCTTCTAAAGTCTAATCTTAAGTCAACACCATGTCACCCTAATTACTTATCTGGTAACCATACAGAAAAACTGTTTCGTAATCCCCTTTAATCCCTTAAGTTAATATCCATGTTCAGTACAAATGTGGGTTTAGGTCTACACAAAAATACCTTAAGTGGTGCCCTAAACCTAAACAATCACAGACACAGTTTTCCTCTTTTTAACAGTATCATAGTCTGATACCTTAAACTATTACCAGTACACAGTTTTTTCATATGGTAAAAAGTATCAGAGTTGTACGTACCTTAAACCTAACACAGTGTACTAGGCTGAATCTGTATCCTAGTCATCTCGGGCGCTTTGCTCTATATACGACCTCGCCTCTGTTTTATCAAGTATCCTCACCTATCACTTAACCCTGTCGTGGATCAATACAAACTACCACACAGCATGTCAGGGAGAAGAGGGTGTGGGAGTGGGTGTGATAATGGTGAAACGAATAACCCAGCGACCCCTAAGAGAAATATTGGCAAGATGGATGTAATGCGGAACCCGGACTCTTCTCACTAGCCCGTCTACAACCCCTTCACTGCCTGCCCACACACTTCCCTCATCGTACACTCCCTTACTTCTCGCTCACTGATCTTCATAACACGTCCCCACACCTCTTCATCTAACGCCCCAACACTCCCTTAAAACCAAGTGGCGGAGGCAACTGAATCAAGGAATGACCCAATACAATCAAGAGAGGAGCGCTCCCCAGGCTACCAGGAACTGCCCCAGGAGAAACGTGTGGGCTGTGGTACCTGCAATGCGGAGAGCAGCCAGCAGTCGGAACACCCTGGAGACAACATAGCCACACAAACCCCGGGGATGACATAACGTAAGTGTAAAAGAAACGACTAGCTTGAAGTAATTTATGTATACGTTTAGAAGAAAGTTGGTCAGTTAACTAATAATATTTTCGTTTGGTTAGTTTATGTAAAGTTAATTTATATAACGCTCAACAACCAAAATAAAATGAATATTGAAACAAAACCACATTAAAATCACACCCACTCTACCAGTACACGGATGATCTCTACTACACCCTCCCTCCCACCCACACATCTCACTCAACGCGCACTCTAGTTTCTCCCCCTGCCTCCTTTCATTCACATAACCGGGGTCCGTTTTCTCAGTAGTGTAAAATTCCTAAAATGGTATAAGACACGGTACCGGATCTAATTACGGTCCAGTCTTGACGCAGTTTTGACTCATTCATGCTTCATTATTGAATCATACCCTAAGTAAGCCAATTAGATGTGGTCCTCAGGTAAGGTAAGGGAGACGTAGTATTCATAAACCACAAAGAATCAGATTTTAGTATCATTACATCTTGGTGCGGCAGCCACTTAGGTTAGGCTACGTTAGGATGAAATAAGGTATGGTTAGGTTATAGTAACTAGGCTATAGTACGGTTCGATTAGGTTAGGTTATATGGACTTTAGATTAGGTGAAGGCTACGTTAGGTTATATAAAGTTTAGATTATGTTACGCTGTGGTATGGTTTGATTTGGCTAGGTTAAATTTGAACACGATATAGTTAATTTAGAGCCTGGTTAAGTTATGGTTGTTATATTTTGGTTAATTTAAAAGTTAATTAAGCTATGGTTATGGTAGGTCATCACTTGATTGGATTACATAAGGTAAAGTGACAAACTCGCAGTAATTGCTTTGGCAGGGGGAGAGACTGGCTAACATATGAAGCACTCGCGTTGCTATTAATACTCCCTAAGAAGTGTGCCCTGACTATAAAAGATGCCTCTTGTTGTCAAGGTGTATTAGTGGTGGTGGTCACGTAGCAATAGGTTCTCTCACGCTAGTCAAGTATGTAGTGCTATTATACTTCAAATTAGGCAAAATATTATCTAATACCTCTACCTCTCGCTAAACACGGATTCACATTATTGAGAGGTAAACAATGAATTCAATTAAGCAATGAATTTTCGGAACTCAAATACAATTGTTTCAAGATTTAAAATATTTACTTATTTTATGTCTGCTGTTACTTACACTTATCTCACGACAGTTGCAACATACATTTATGGCTACAAAATATGCTTATTTCATGTCTGATACACTATATTTATTTCATGACAACTATAACATAACTTTACAACTATAATATAAGATGTATACAGTACTTCATGAGGAATAATGAAGGAATAGTTCTTTTCATATTCAGGTTTTTGTTCCAAGTTTTCTCGTAAATAAACACGCCACTGACGCGCACCGACCTGTTGACGCGTGAACATAGGAACCATTTGCCCACACGAATCCAGTTTAAAATAATAAACTTCCTTCCTAATTTAGGTAGGTGGCTTTGTTGGTGTGAGTTCCTTTAGCATTTCCCCAGTTTTGAAGATAGAGAACTGAAATTTCGCAGGGAGTACCGGATGGCCCGGGGGATAGTCGTGCGCTATCCCCTGTCCTTCCTCATTCGTACTATTACTATTATTATTGTATTAGTATTATTACCATTTATTGTTGTTATTAAAATAAGAACAAAGTCATTATTCACCGTCTACAGGAAAATTTAATAGAGTCGCCGCCTCCTGACGCTTATGTAAACAAAGATGGCGGCAGCAGAGGTGGCTTCTTCAAGGGCGGATCCAAGGGGGTCCTGACTCTCCTTTTCATCAGAAAATTACAATACTTTTTCTTTAATGCAGTAATGTACTCAGGCTTTTTTGTAAAGTTAAAAGTAATTACTATTAACTTCAGAATATCTCCTAATATCATATGTACATGGCTTCAGAATGGCTGGGCTGTGCTCGCCATGTTGCCCCACCCACAAAGTTCTTCTTGGATCCGCCCCTAGTCTTTGTTTAATAGAAAAAAATGGGAGAAAAACCTGAAGCAGCGGCGTCTTTTTATAAAAAAAAGGGACAAAACCTGAACAGAACAAGTGCTACTCCTGCACCTGATTTGCTTTATTCGTGAGGTAAGAAATAAGTTTTCTCTTAGAAATTTCTTCGCTATATAGGTCGCTGGTTAACCCGGACCACTGCCCTTAAACAATTATTACCCATACATTTACCTTATAATAACACTGCATAATACAAATTCACCTCATAACCACACATACTCACCTCATAAAGGAGAGGCCGGCAGTGCATGAGCAAGCAAAGATCATTGGCAGTTTTTACCAATTTTTTTCCAGCATCGCCAGATCCGGATACAAGTCTCACCACAACCACACAGAAATTCTCCCAACAGAAACCTCTACACCTCCCTTCACCCCTACTACAACCCAAAGATGCTTGTTAACTGGCTAAATGAAGTTACGAGAACCAACCAACCAGATACCGTCCTCATATCTAAGGGTTGGCGACCACAGTCCTCCACTTTAAACGTTCTTGGGACGTTCTTACCAATCTTCCGAGACTGATTAATACTACTTAAACCAGCTTAAATACTGTATAACTTGCTTAAATAATACCAAAACAGGTTTGGACCATTTTTAATCGAGATAAGTTTAAACCCCTTCGGAAGCAGGGGTTTCTCAGTTGAATAAAATCGTCTGGTGTTAGCCGAATAAAATTCCTTAGGGCTACACTGCCCTATAACGGGTTAAACTAGCGTTTATATTACTAGTAAAATCTTATCTTAAAAGTAACTCACTAAATAAACATAAACAAGCTTAAACGTAGTTAAAATTCACTACTTACTTAATTTCTAATCAGAAAAGAGGTAAAATTTCCTTACATAATAAACATTGTTAAATAAACATATTCAAGTTATTAAAACAATAAAAATCCAGACAATAGCCTCGTCCAAACAGATGAACAATAATTAATCGTCTAAAATTAACCTTACCCTAAAATCACTCGCTCGGTCGCATTCAAACGTTGAAGTTTTGTCTGTAGTAAACCTCTGCATCCCCAGTTCTTAAATAAATTAATAAATAAGTAAATATAGGCCTACATACGCTTTATACATACCGTTAGTACATATTCATCTACACTAATATATATATATATATATATATATATATATATATATATATATATATATATATATATATATATATATATATACACACACACACACACACACACACACACGAGTCCACAATACGGCGACAACACTTCCAATTTAACACACAAACCTATTTATGAGCTGTATATTAACAAATCAGTTACATAATCAAACAATTTCTTCCAATCAATCTTTTTCCTTATCAATCAAGGCGAGAAAATCTGCAAGTTTAATTTTAAACGTGATCGATACAGTATACGGTACACAACTTCGATATTCCGAAAGCTTTCACTGCGCAACATGGCCACCACTAACACTCATACCAAGTAACACAGACGAACGTTCGCCGGCCTGCAGTTACATCATCCCAAGTGGTCCATAAATTCTCTAGGTATTATTTTGGTCGTCCTGCACTACGTTAATGACCCAGGTAATGGTCATCTGTGGCACCTGTGTACGCTGGACACCTGGGGGAAACTTAGGGCACTACCCGTCCTAACTCCCCAACCCCCACCAAACACCCAATCCTAACCCCCCTACCCCCACCAAACACCCAATCCTAACCCCCCTACCCCCACCAAACACCCAATCCTAACCCCCCTACCCCCACCAAACACCCAATCCTAACCCCACTACCCCCACCACACACCCAATCCTAACCCCCCTACCCCCACCACACACAACACCTTCACCAAGGAGGAGTGAATCAAGACTGATCATCATCCGGCATTTGCCAGGGTACGCACACACGAACGGTGATGCTGCATGACGTAAGACTTTTTTTTCATCTAATTATAGTTCCTGATGCGACAGTGAGCAGTTAGTGACAGTACTTCAGAACAAACACGCACTTCTCAAGTTTTTCAACTACAAACTAGCACGTCTGCTGTACTAACTCGACCTACGACACCGCACCTACGAAGTGAACTTTCCCTCAATCATGTGCTTAGTGATTTGTTGTGTCGTGTTTTAACCTCAGCGCGACACGGAGCTCAGGCCGGGATTCTGTCGCAAACTACACACTAGGTGGCGCCGTTTTGATTCTGGGGAACTCCTAGTCTACCCGGCTATAAATGGGTATGAGTATACCTAACTTTCCAATTGAGAAAGTGAGACTGATCAAGTACAGTCCCTAATAAGTTGTCAGTCCTATGAAACCCACTTTCACTATTTCCACAAGTCACCTTAACCGATGAACAATTTGTGTAAAAAATACATAAAAGATTGCTACACCTAACTGTGCTTGTTTATCAAACGACCACCACTGTCACCAGGAAGGAGCGTAGAGTAACCAAGACTCATCCAGTACTCCCCTCCTGGTCCCATCCCCCCTCCCTGCACCCTAGCCAGTCAAACTCACTGCCTCGGCCTTTTGAAGACATGATTAATAGCCCCATACACAAGCAGCCTTGGCATCCGGCCACCCAACTGACCACAGTACACATATATCATTACAGTATCCACCTTGACGGACAAACTCCATACCTGTCACACACCTCACTGTACCTCTGACCCCTAATACGTTTTAATCATTATCACTTTAATCTGAAATTTATGTAGAAAAACAGATTAATCTATTATCTGAAAATTATGTTCACAATTTATTCGCGTTAACGCTGTAACATGTATAACATTCAAAGGTGTTTAAACGCGCGGGTAAAAGTACAGTCTATTTAGATACGTCATAACGAGTCATTCACGATCTTCCAAGCATTATTACCTGCTACACAGCATCTCACACCACCTGCTACACATCTAACACCACCTGCTACACATTATCTAACACCACCTGCTACACATCATCTCACACCACCTGCTACACATTATCTCACACCACCTGCTACACATCTAACACCACCTGCTACACAGCATCTCACACCACCTGCTACACATCAACTAACATACCCTGCTACTGCTGGCACTCTACCAGGAAGTTGGACGTAATGGTAGTAGCGATGGTGGGGGGGGGGGTACTGTATAGTGGTCTTGTGATGTGGCAACGTCTGAGGTCATTCTTAAGTTCTGGCAGTGGTAGTGTTAAGAGGTGATGAATAGTGGTAATGTCTTAAGTTACGGATGATAATAGTGGTAGTGGTGGTAGTATCAGGGGCTGTGGATAGTAGCAGTGACTGAGGTGGTTAGCGGTAGTGTTATCTTATGAATAGTGTCTGAGGTTGTGGATAATGGTAGCGGCTGTGTCGGGTTGTGAAGAGTGGTAGTGGTTGTGGAGAGTGTGGGTAATATTGTGTATATTGTCAGTGATGGTGGTAGCATCGTCACGGCCACTGGATATGATTACTGGTAAAAATGCCAGCACACATACACACATGGCGAGTGAAATTCTCTTCTCGTTGCTTGACCTACAGTACACTCACATTATTTCAAATGTAATACCAAATTATTCACTAAGTTATTCAACAATGACTCAGTAGTTATTCAATAAGTTATTCAACCATGACTCAGTAGTTGTTCATGTCATACATCAGAGGTTGAGCGAGGTCAAGCTCTGATGAAGTCATTGTTGAATAACTTAAAGAATAATTGGGTATTATACATTAAGTATTATACATTTGGGTGAATATTTATATAATACAAATGGTGCTGTTACATACACACTTATTAATATTAATCCAAGCAAACAGAAGTCATATAACCCTCGCACACACATACAATTATTTACACGTGCGCGCACACACATACAGTACCTGAACAGTCAACAGCAAACAATGGTTGCCGGATGTGACAACCGGACACGCGCCCACAAAGACAAGCGACATTTTGGCTTGCTTCTAACTACCTTACAAAAACAACAAACGTTTGGGTTTTTTGTTATATCAAATGGCCCCCAATCCTTACAAGGCCCTGTCCTACTGGGGGGCCCTAACACAACCCAACCTAACCATCAGAATTGGGACTTAAGATTGGGGGATCCTTACGACCGAAAATTAATCGGACTGATATGACTGGGCCCCAACACTAATATGTTGGTTAGATTAGATAAGATAAGAGTCTTATTCCTAAAAATATAATTATGTTGGAGCCCACAATATAATTTTCACTTGGTTAGGTCAAGGGTTGCATATTGAAATTTTGGGCAGACGAAAAGATTTTGAACCAATCGTTTTGTACTATACATGAATATATTTATGAAGATAATAAAAAAAGAGTCTCGAAAGACAAATGTTAAAGGTAAACTATTGAAAGCAATGTCACCAACCGATTCCACTTCCCTTCCTGACTTGAGCAAACCGGAGGGGTGACCAAATTAGGACATACATTGCCATCTGTATCAACGTTTCTCATAAATATATATCATTAACATAAGAATGTCAAGACCTGCAATGTTCCAACTTGGCCTGTACATTTTTCATGACAACCACTCGGGCTATGATATACTGGGGTCTAAAGGTGTCACAAATTGGAAATGCACCCTCCTGCACGAGATGGGACCTGGCTTTTGTGCTATCTAGTTTTCTGTTGCGTCGACTTTCAAAAACTAGTGACTGGATTACTAGTTTTATGGGGTTATATTTGAAACTCAAACGATTAAAACAACGAGATAATGACAACATTCCCACCACTAATAGGTGCCCTGGTCACACCCTGACATACCGTCATGGTAGTCTAGACATGTCTGAATACGTCTAAACACACCTGGGTAAACCCAAACAGGACTGGGTAAGCCTTAGAAATGGGGTACACCACTACATAGAAGGTGCACATCATGGTACTTTGAACATCAAGGATAATGGTCCTGACAAGGTTATGTACTTGTACTGCACACCGATACGCTTAATATTCTCTACTATATCATCTAAATACGTGTCTTAAAATGGATCTCTGTTCGCTTAGGAGAATAACAAACGCAATACCATATTACAGATATGTATAAATGTATATGAACTGAAATTATAACAACAAAGACTTGAGAAACAATGACGCAGAATATCTTAACAAACGAAAGTGGTAATAAATCATTACATGAACACCATTATTGATGCTAAATTATATTTAGCATTAGTGGCATTGACCTTTTATTCTAATGAACTAAACAAATACAATCAGTGGTACTTTCATTAAAATTCTAAATACAAAAATAAGGAAAATTTTCCAAAGCATTGTCATTATTGTTTCAAATTTTCAGATTCCTTGTTCAGTATCGAGATATCGGCTAGACAAGCAACTTTTAAAAGTATGTGACAAACAAACGGAGTAATTCCCCTTGAGCTTAGCGCAGCACCTGGGGGCGAAACGGGGTAGTGTCAAATTTTCCAGAGTGATGACAAATCAGAGTGGATAAGAGTAAGATCCACCCACTATGATACATATCTTACAGAAACGAAAATGAGACGGAAGGACGGACGTAAGGTCAGGAAAGTAAACATTCAGGGTGTCCACTGGCGTGACAAGACTACATAACACCATTGAAGAACTTCAAGACGCTGTAAACTTGAGGTAAATTATACAATTACAGACTCGGGCTCTTTAACTTTCTATAAACTGCCTGGCCATTTTTTAAGTTTTGTCTTTGGTACAACAATCAATAGCTATGCTTAGGCCGACTTTTTTTTGTATGTAATCTTTCCGGTTCAGCACAGGTGGGGCCGGAAACAAA